GCGGCGGCGGCGGCGGCGGCGCACGGGATGAGTGCGGTATAACACGGTTACCGTCCCTCCCGTCCCCCGGCCCCACGCGTGGTGTGGGGACGCGGACGGGGTGGGGGCGCAGGCCTAAGAGCGCCTTCCCTGCCCCGGGTTCTGAGCACAGGTGCGCGTGCGTGTGTGCGTGTGTGTGTGTGTGTGTGTGTGTGTGTGTGTGTGTGTGTTTCCGGGGTGGGAAGCAAGCAGAAAGCGAGAAAACAGAACTATCCTGGTATTGTGAGTAAAATACAAAATGGATACAACAATCTCAAAAAAAAAATCTCGGAGGAAAAAATGAACGAGAATAAACACCCGAAAATGAGGTGGGGTGGGGGGAAGAGAAAAGAATCCACGGAGAGGAAAAGGTGCTCTCCTTCCGTCCTGCTGCAGCCCTCGGATCGCTGCTTCTCCGGGTGCTGGGGCGCACGGGCTGGCACCCCCGGATGTGCAAGGGGCAACAGCCTGGTGGGGGCTTGGGGCAGGAAGACGGGGTGCGGACGCGTTTGGGGAGCGGGAGGCTGGGGTGCACGGCCTCCTCCCTCTCTGGAGCCCTGATTCCCATCCGGCCCATCCTCTGTCCTGTCCCCGCCTCCTCTGTGAGCGGGGTGGGGGGAGCCCCAAAACCACAGCAACAGACCTGTGAGGCACTGCTTGGGAAAAGTCTAATTTGGTATCACGGGCAACAAGTTCCGTGGTGTGGTTTTGACTCTGCCTCCCCGCCTCGCCCCGAGGTCTGGGGTGATGGTCTGATCCCCGCACCCCAAAACGCTCAGGGGGGTGTGGAAGGGGTACGGGGGGGGACATCTGGAGGGCGGGAAGGTGACCTTGCTTCGGACCACTCCACAAAAGCAAAGCAAGACAGCCCAGGTCTCAGAGGGAGGATCGGGCCAAGATCAAAAACCGCCCCTGTGCTCCGCGTTAGGGCGCTGCGAGTAAACGCACAGACACCACGCACAGCCTCGCCCTACGCTGGGAGCCCAGGGCCGCCGTCCTCCCAGAGGCCCCGGGACAGGGCCACGCTGGTGTCAGGGTGGGGAACAGTCCCGGCCCAGCCCTCCCACGCCCCTCTGTGCATTCCTGATTGTCTCAGAGCTGGGATCCAGGCCCAGGCGTGGGGACCCCTGGGTGCCCCCTCTTCCCAAAGCCACGTGTAGCCGGATCCTCTCGCAACCTCCAGGGGGGGCCAGGCGGGCGTCCCCACGCGGGGCCAGGGACCTGCATCTATCAGGGCTCGGGGCTTCCCTTCTAGGCCCAGAGGTTGGGCTGGGACGGTGCTCAGGCGTGGCCTGGGGCGAGGTGGTGATGGCGGGCTCAGGAGGAGCAGCTCTGACAGAAGTTTCACACGTGGAAAGCGACAGAAAGAAAAGATCCGGTCTTCTGCCCCTGCCATCCTACCCTAACCCGGGGACCCCGGTTCCTGGTGTGCCTGCCGCCTCGTTCTGCCCTGCAGCCGGGGACCTGGAATTGTAACTGAAAAAAGGGGCGGGGGAGCTGAGGAGGCCCAAGCACCCCACACTGAAAGGCTGCCTGGCACAGACCTGTCCTCCGCCACCGAGGAGCCCCGGGCGTGGAGCATCCCGAGGGCCGATGCCCGCTGACCCCAAACACCTGGCTACTGCTAAGCTTTGGTCGAGATCAAAGCCAAGGGAAGCAGGAATTAAACAAGGGAAAGAAAGCAAAAGCAACGACGGAAACTGAAGTCAAAGACCAGACAACGTCCTGACCGGCCCCCCGGACGGCAGCCGCGACCCGGTGTCCCCCCCAGTGGCTGAGCGCGGCCCCAGTATGGACAGACAGATATTGCATATATGGAGGGGTTTTTTTGTTTTTCATAGCAGACGCTCTTCATTTTCATAGCTGGAAGACGGAGTTTGGGAGTGGGGCGCGGAGGGGTCCCCCAGGCTGGTCTCTGGGGTTGGGGGGGGATAAGGTGCACAGGGAGGGACAGGAGGGGTGCGAGTTCGACCCCAACCCCGGGGTTGCCAGCCTGACGGGGTGGGGTGGAGGTGGGGACAGGGCTGGAGGAACCGCCTGGGGTCTGTGCGTGGCATCTGGGGGCCGCCCTGGGCCCGGCGGTGTCACAGAGCCAGCCTCCTCGGGCCAGGGCGCGCCCCTGAAGTCTGACCCCAGCAACCCCAGAGCTGGGGCTGGAGGTGGCGGAGGTGAGCACCAGGGAACGGCCACCCCCACTGCCACGGGAGCCAGGGACACAGAACCAGGGTGCAGCGGGGTGGGGGGTTGCGGGCCAAACCGCAGGAGCAAGGGGATGGTTTTTGTGGCTTACTTCATAGCAATTTTCATTTTTTTAAATCTCATTTTCTTATTTATTTTTTCTTACAAATAGAAATACACCCCTTTTCAATTTTTATGTCATTGTTTTCTCTCTCTCTTTTGCTTAACTACACGTGCATTTCATGCAACTGTGCGGATATTGTTTAAAGGTAATAATACTTATTCTCCAAGGCAAGGCACGTCATGTGGTAGAAAATTTCGTGCAAATTAGGAAAAATGGAAATTTTCTTAAAGGAATTTTTTTTGTATTTTTTTGTTTTGTTTTGTTTGTTTGTTTTTAGGAGGCGGTGAGGGTGGAGGGCGAGGCGGGAGGGAGATAGAGCCAGGTATAATCTGCCATGCAGGCCGCCAGCGCGCCCGCTGGGGCAGGAGCCGGGCCGCCGGGCCCTAAGCACCATGCAAAGTTTGGTAAAGAGTTGGTTCTCACGGTTGCACCCTGACC